CACGCACGCACACACACACACACACACACACACACGCACACACGCGCACACGCACACAGCCGACCCCGCTCCTCAGGTCCAATTACCATTACACCCCACTGAGCTTGGTCTTCCGCCATTCCCATCCACCACGCGGCATCCTACCCCTAATTCCAAAGAAGAACGATCAAGAAGCTCGGGACAAAGATTAAAAGAGACGAGGGAGACAAAGACGAAGAGAACCCGAGTCGAGATCGAGAAAGCAGCGCAGCAAGGTCAAGAAGGCGAGAAAGATGCAATAGAGATAGAATAGAGCGAGGGCGAGAACCCAGCAAATATGGCTGAATGGTACACACGTAGATGCTGTTTGATGTTGGGGTTGGGAACTGCTCTCAAACAGATCATGAGTTCAAATCCGGATGGAATCAGATGGAAACGAGGGCGAGACGACATCAGACAGATCGATTCAACCTACTGGTAGGAATAGACGACGCAAGAGCCAGATTATGGGGAAGCGGGGGGGAACCACAGCGACGTAGAAACACCGGAATAAGGAGGTAGGGTGGAGACAAACGACTTGGATCCACCAATCACGGGACAGATAAGACGACCAGGTCCTCAGTGGTTCGCCGCTCGATTACTTACACAGTACCGCGACCGATGACGACGTCTCTTGCGCGCTGTAATCTCCGCAAGCCGCAACAAGAGCAAGAAAACACCCACTCCTTGCGCACGGGTTGCGGTGGCCTTCGGAAGACAACCAGAAGTAAGCACCAGCTCTCCCAGCTCCAAGACTCCACAGTAACTCACTGCACCACGCACACGCAGTGCCCTTTGGAACATAATAACCAGAAGCAAGCAGGATCGGGCTTCAGACGGACTCCGCAGAGGGGACACAAGCACCTACTCTACTCCCCCAGCTTCAGGCTTCTGATGGACTCCGCAGCGGTGATATCCCCACGCACACGCACCTACACTCCCAGCTTCAGGCTTCAGAATGAACTCCGCAGAGATTATCTCTCCGCACACCCGGTGAATCACAGCAAGCCGTAGCGGCCTTCGCCGTTCGACATTGGCGTTTGTCGGTCACCGTGTGGCCTCGATAAGGACTATGTCTGACCATATCCATACCTACGACAGTCCATCTTTTTCCTTTTCTTGCTATAACGACGGTCTATCTTTTTTGTTCTTTTTCTTGTTTTTCTTTTCTTGTAAAAAATATCATAAAAAGTTGCAAAATACCCCTATATGTTGAGATATATGTCAAAATGCCCCTAAAAGCTGTGCGTATAGTGGAATACCCCTCTGACAGAAAATATCTTTTGCTAAATGCCCCTGCCGTGGGTTGCACCACCATCTTTGGAAAATACCCCTACCGGGGAAGGTCATTATGTGCAAAATACCCCTGCCGGGTACTGTTATCAATCTTTGCAAAATCTCCTGGTACTTGCCCTAATAATTTTCGTTTTACCCCTGCCGGCCCAGGTCAACTTTGCATTTTGCCCCCTGGCTGTTGCCTCCAGAAAAAACGCACGTTGAAGAGAAGGCAATGCCATTATGGCTGTAATTTTTTGGAGCAACTTTCTGTCTAGTTTGGGGCGAAGGCACTGTCATTTTAGCAGTTGCGCTGAGAGAGAGAGAGAGAGAGTTGGAGTTTGAAGGGGTTGCCCGCAGGAGGATGTCCGAGATGGCAAAAGAGGAGAACTTGGAGGAATTGTGGGGGAGGAGTTGGAGATGGGCAAACTTACCAAGGAGAAGCTGCCTAACACAGAGTGAGGCAGGGGCAGACACTTCGAATGACTTCGAAAGTTTGAATCACGGAGGCAAACTGCCATACCTATGGGCCTGGGTATTGCCACTATTGTGCAAAGTTGCCCAAACGGTATTTCCGACGTGTCATGCAACTACCGATTTTGCCAATTTGCTAATTTTGAGAACTCTAACAAGATTATTAGAGAACACAATCATCAAGCAGAGTCCATGCAAATGAAGCAGGACCAACTGACTCGAGCGAAGACAAAGGTAAATGAGGGAAGAATGAGAGAACTCACAATAATCTCAAGGAAGTAAAGATGAATAGACACGGCCAACACTAGTAAAAAACCCTCACTTATCCCTCTAAAGTCTCAAAATTGACCTCTCATTTTGGTTGTGTGCCTCTTGTGCCTTGGGCTATGCCTGTGTACTTCCCGAGACTGAAACTTCTAAATGTAAAGTCACTTGAAGCCTGAAAGCTCCGAACACTTCCAACCGCGTCCCATGATACGAAAGTCAACCATAGGACAAAAATTCTCCCATAGAGTATAAAAATATGGTTGAGAGAAGATCCCTCGTCTAAAATATCGAAACTCGAATGGTTCGGTCACTGCCTTATAGTCAATCTCTGCAGGAGAAATGTACCTCTTGGTTAGATCCACCAAGTCACTCCAGCAGGAGTCGTCTGTAAGAGTGAAGGGAATAAGAGGTTTGAGGTAGTCTGTATAGAGCTTGGGTCCGAAGCTGTAGATCAACTTTGTCCCACTCTCGTTAAACTTTTTTTATTTGTCCTCAAGCTACTTGGCAGCCGAAATCCAAACTGAATCAAAGTGCTCATGCGTCTCTTTGCCTTTCTTCACATAGAGTCTCATGTCATGGATGGTACCGTGTGCAAATTTATTGAGAACCATAAAAATGGATAGGTCTCTCTGTCTGAAATCAACTGCACTGATGTATTGGTATCGGAAAACATCATTGGAAGCAATCTTGTTAAGTCTGGTCAACATTGACCCCTCGACCGAGAATGACCGAACTGTACTCATGAGTTGAGTCGAATGTTGAAACCGATCCCTGTGTCTTCTAGTAATGATTGATTACTGATTGATACCGATCTCTGGCGCAAATAAGAAGGGTTGAGCGCTCATTGACCTTGACTAAAACTTTTGAGTAACTCGAACGACTGAATGATGACTGAACACTGGTTAAACGCTGACTGAATACAAGTTCGATAACGAATCACCAAGTACTGGTCACTTAGTGTCTGCGCGACAGTTGCTAACTTGATATGCTATCGGGGTTTTTAGGAAGAAAAGTTTAACACCTTTGTGCTCACCCGAACCTTGTTTTGGCGTGTTCCACTGTCTTTAGCAACGAGCGAATACTGTGTAGTTTACCTTCGTGACCATAAAAATAGTATACATATTCGATATATGTTTCCCCTTTTACCATCCGAACCGCATGTTTAGGTTGAGCTTTCCTATGTGATTCCATATCTCGACACACCTCTTCTTCTCATCCTTCCTTTTTATCTCTCATAGATTTGTACTTCAAGTCTTAGATGCAGTATGAAAAAATAAAGTAGTAAGTGCTAGTCAATCCTTTTCCGGGTGAAATTCGGCCAACAAGTAATCAACCTTCGTTAACATTCATTGTTTCTTGCCCATTAATCGGCGTGCTTAAGTTACGGGCTCAACTAAACTTCTTTCCCTGATCGTCGAGTTGAAGCACAATGAACGATCACAATGAATAAAACATTTTTCTTATGGCGTGTCGGTTTCAGTTTGTATCACAATTTATCAAAGAGTTACACTTTCGTGCTATCTTCTGAAGTAGGTAAGCAAAGACGGCAAAATGATTACTTGGGGAATTCAAGTTGAATAAGACGTGAGAACAACCTTTCCCTATTTGACTGACTCGATCGAAACATCAAGGCCTCTCGCCCAACGTTTAAGTGTCTTCTTTGCAACAGGCATAAAACAAAAAAATCAAGTAACTTTGGTTTAAGGTCATCATCAGATATATCAAGCGAGCTCTGCACTCCTTGTCAATTCATACCTCACTCATTTACTCTTCCTGCCACCAAGGCCAAAGATGTCACTAAGACCAACCGTCACTCATTCGTTCATGTTACTTCTCACTTCGTTCGCTGCTAACCATTTCATATTGTCCAAGTCCATGACACATACGAGGTCACTACAATAACTCTGTATGGTTGCTTACTTCGGAATGTACAGTGATCATTCGGTTGGACACAACGTACCCACTTTCAAGTCGAGGCTAATTGATAGTTCTAGCTATTTCGTATCACATGAGGGCCAGTTACAATTGGTCATCGAACCGTTAGGGATTAAATTGAACGAGGAAGAAAAAGGCAATGACAATAAAGATAGGATGAAGTATTGGTTATCAAAGAGTATGATCACTCCCTGAGGACTCAAACAAATAGTGCAGCAAACGTTACTGCTCACGAAGGACAAACATGCTTTCCTCAAGAACATCAGACATCATTTTCGTCATCAAACCGTCCCAGGCATTGAAGTATATGATTGAATCCCTTGCTTAGTACATAAACTTTCCTTTTCTTTACCATAGGAGTAAAGCACGAAATAATTCACCATAACCCACTTGAAGGGTTGGATGATGTCAACAATCTTGCTGTTCTTGCGTACCTTCGGATGATAAGGTTGGCTCCTTCTGTCTATACCCCTAACATCTCGAGATTGATATCTATCAGTCCCCAGTTAATTGCTCCTTCACGAACAACTTTCTCAACATGACCTAAACTCTTCATGACAACTTCCGCTGCACTAAAATGGGGACCATACCCACGAGCAGGCTGCTGACCTCGGTGGCCCATTTCATTCTCGTCAAACACACAATAAGCATGTAGGTGTCGTCAAGTCTCTTCTCACTTAGGAGCTCATAATTGGTTTTATCTTATAGCCTACGGATTGTCAGCGCATGAGTCGACTAGAAGGGCGAAACAAAGTGTTATCCACAACGAGCTTTGGCGCGGCTCTTTCACAGCTTCGACTTCCAAAATCCTCGTTCTCAGCCTGTATGCAGTCCCACTCATTCGTACTAGGCTTCTTCTTTCTTGCGATAAGAAGTGAAGAAGGTCATTCACAGAGACGGCAACGACATCACTTTATCACGAAAAGAAGAGGGAGTCTAAAATGTTCGTCACCCTTCGTCTCTGTGGAAGGACGAGCCTGCTTCCAGCCAGCTCTCCCAAGGAATCAGAGGCGTACTCTATATAGAGCGCACATTAGTTTCGTGAGATCTTCACATAGAACCTCTTCGCAGGCCAGCATACACGCTTCCTCGTATGTCATCTGCTCTCGTTCCTGTCTCGTATGACTGTGACGTCTGTCTATAGCTCGACATCATCTAGTGGTCAGTCTTCCTCTCGTAACAAGCTAGTCTAGTCGGGCCGTAAGATCAACCGAAGTGTTCATGCCCACCTTCAATCTGATAGGCGACCTTATAGGCACACGTAAGTTGTACCCCGTTCCCCTCTCGTTACTGCACACACACCCGTGATCGCTTTGAGACTCGCCCCTCAATCCCACCGTCGTGAGCTTGACCCATCTAGATACCGTTGACGTGAGTGACCACTTGCGAGTGTTTCCGTCGTAAGCATTATTCAATTCCCCTTCTTCTTCAAGTGTTCACCTCCCCACCATGCGCACCGCTTCTCGAGTATGCATCAACTCGTATCATCACTCAAACTGCCCACTCGTAATCACTTCAAGACCTTAGCTCTCGTTGCTCTCGTTGTTCTCTTTTCTCCCATGCCTCTTCTTACTATGTCCATCGTAGTAAGTCAGACTCTCGCGAGAGCGATTGATGTCAATCGAGACTGCAAACTCACACGCGCTCTTTCTCCCACACCCAAACGCGCATGCCTGCAAAACTCTATATTGTTGGACACGAATCCAGAGAAGCGATGACGTGTTCCCGCTTCAGTAAAGGCCCGAGAGGCGAGATAAAGATCCCCCGAGCGTACGGTCGAAAACCCAGGTGAGTGACGTCAACCATAGCTACTCCGTACACCATCACGTGTTCTCACGCTCTCTCCGTTGGGAGGGCATTGTCCGCCACAAACCATCCAGAAATTCGTTGACCTCTGAGTCTCTCTCCTCCCACTCTTGAGCGTAATCGTCACGCACGTCAATGTCCCCGTA